AAAGCTGGAAGGATTCTCTTGGTATGAAGGGCCAACAGCCCCTTCATGGAGGTAGATTCAAGAGTGGGCTTGACTCAGAAAGGGACAAGAGGCGGAAATATTTTGGGCAGGGCACGCACAGAGATAACCCTGAGGATTGAGCGGGGAGGCCAAGGAAGAGACCTAGAAGAGGCTGTGGGGCTTTGTGGGAGGCTCAGGCCCAGCACTCAGCAGCCACCTGCAGGCAGGAACTCAAGAACCTGAGCAAGGATGCCGTATCCACAGCAGGAAGGAAAATTTCCAGCTGGGGAAGTCAACGTGGTGACGGCCTCATCAGGGAAGAGAAGTAAAAATGCTGGGGCGCCCAGGACAGGGGTGCGCACCTGGTGTCCCAGCTACTCAGGAGGTTGAGATGGGGGGGTGGGAGGGGCGGGCTGCCTGAGCGCAGAAGCTTGAGGCTGCAGTGAGCTATGATTGGGTCGCTGCACTCCAGCCTGGGTGACAGTGAGACCCTGTCTTTAAAAAATATAAATAGGGCAGGTGTGGTGGCTCACACCTGTAATCCCAGCACTTTGGGAGGCCAAGGCAGGCAGATGGCTGGAGGCCAGGTGATCAAGACCAGCCTGGCCAACACGGTGAAACCCCATCTTTACTAAAATACAAAAAAAAAAAAAAAAAAAAAATTAGCCGGGTGTGGGGTGCACACCTGTGGTCCCAGTTACTTGAGAGGCTGAGGCATGAGGATCACTTGAACACAGGAGGTGGACATTGCAGTGAGCGGAGATCGCACCACTACACACCAGCCTGGGCAACACAGTGAGAATTCATCTCAAAACAAAAAAATAAATACATCTAAAATGCTGGGGGCTCCCAGGTCAGAATAATGGATGGTCAGAAGTGTTTGCCTCCTTCCTTACTAAAATAACAGATGACATAATGAAGCAGCCAAGGCAGCACTAGCAGCGAAGACAGTATCACCAAGAGAAAAAATTCATTTTGTGAAAGATGGGAAACATCCGGCACCAATGAATGGACAAATTGGAAGAGGAAACCGAAGCCCAGCACATAAAGGGGAGAAAGCTGCACCCTTTTCACCTTTTTGAACATTAAGGGAAACCTAATTTCATAAAGGTGTAGGCTTTTCTGCAGATGTGGGTTACAGGAAGGCTTCTTTGGAAAGGCTCCCAGCTTCGAGGAAGCAGAAGGGGTGATACACAAGGGGGCTGGCTTCACCAACTTCCCAAATTCATATGCACACACGCAAACACACAAGTTGGGTGAGCATGAACTCAGATGCTTACCTGCTAAGGAATGTTCCCTAAACTAGGCGGATGTATAGGGTTCAAGTTGAAGTAGCTGAGTAGAACACCCCAAAACAGACCCAGAGCAAAGGGAAGAAAGGCAGCTCCAAGATCTGGGGTCAAGTCTACCTGCCACCCCACCAGGTCAGCCCCTGAAAGGAAACCAGGACGTACATCCACACAGTAACCCTCACCCAGCCTTCCAATGCAGGAGTGGCCTTGCAGGTAAACAGCCCAGAAAAAGAAACATCTCCTAGGAACTTCTACAAATCAGTTCAGTCCTTCACTAAATGACAACAATCACTTAGTATTTGTTCTTCTCCGTAAGAATTAGGGTGAACAATAATCCCTCACCTAATCCCTGAGTTAATTAAGAATTGGAAAAAAGACTTTATTTTCTTATAAACAGTCCTTGCATCCATGAAGAACAGGCTCCTATGGAAAGAGGAGGAATCAGAGAACAGAACCTGTTTTGGAGATTTCTTTTTTTAAATGGCCAAGATAAAAAATTTCTAGAGAGCTAGTGGAATCATCATGACTTAAAACCAAATTGGCTTTGTAATGGAGTGATGGTTGCAGCAGAATTCTACAATCTACTAAAGCCGGGCACGGTGGCTCATACCTGTAATCCCAGCACCTTGGGAGGCCAAGGCCAGTGGATCACCTGAGGTCAGGAGTTCAAGACCAGCCTGGCCAACATGGCAAAATCCTGTCTCTATTAAAAATACAAAAATTAGCTGGATATGGTGGTACGTGCCTGTTGTCCCAGCTACCCGGAGGCTGAGGCAGGAGAGTCGCTTCACCCTGGGAGGTGGAGGTTGGAATGGGCCGAGATTACACCACTGCACTCCAGCCTGGGGGACAGAGCAAGACTCCGTCTCAAAAAAAAAAAAATTCAGTTCCTTCAAACTTCAGACAGGTGCATTTTGAGGCATGTATTCTGCACTGTTCTCTAGATTCCCCGTGGGACTGAGCTCTAATCCCACACTCCTTATCTGCTGCCTTCCCTTCTAAGGGTGAATTCCTGCCAACCTCTGTACCTGCGCTTCCACCAAAAAACCTGCATGCGCTAGAAGCCTTGTCTTAAAGTCTGTTTTCTGGAAAAACCCAAACCAAGGGTAGAATAATGGTTTTCATTTTGTACTTGAGTTTTTTTTTTTTTTTTTTTTAAAGAGGTGGCTGAAGTTGGTGACCAGCAGAATAGCTAGGAAAGCCAGCTTCAGGAAGGGCTGGATGAGATGAGCAGGAAGAGAGGATGTGAGTTGAAGATAGGCTGGGAAAGGGCGAGTCATAGATGGCAGGTTTCCAAGGCGGTGAGATCAGCCCTTGCTAACACTCAGATTCAAGTTCTCCATGTGGCTTACTGCTTGAGTAGCAACAAAGGCCCACCCCGCAATCCCGTGCAGGGCAGCTGTTGGGAAGCTGCAAACACCTTTTTCAACTGCCAGGTCCCTGACTTAGAAATAAGTCCCTAGATTACAAACAAATTAAAACTACTCTTACTGCTTCAGCACAGTTAATACATCCCCTTTCACCATGCACAACAGTCAAGAAGAAAGCGACTGGCAAAGCTCAAAAGCCACCAGGGTTACTTGGGATAAGAATTCATAAACATAGGTCAAAGTGACAGAAGCAGGAAATGCACCTGAGCAGGACTCCATCTTTCAATTTAAGGTTTTAAAAAAATACCTAAAGACTCATGCTGTATTTCAATTACTCTAAGATGTAATAGTTCACATTTTAATATTTCTGTAATTGAGGCACAATTGATAAAAATCACATTGGCAGTTTTTAGTAGCGTATGGAAAGTATTGCACATTACAACAAATATGGTAATTCGTATTATGTGAGCAAAGAAGTGTTTTAGGGCTCTTTAAAGACAAAAGTGCCTCATTCAAGAATGAGGTACTTTTCAAGATATAATGATACTAAGGGCAAAACTTTTTTTCCCTTGCATTACTTTAAGAACTGCATGAGTCAGAATACTTCAGTTTTTTTAATGCAAATAAAGTTCAGTTCAAAAGATAGTATTTGGCAGATGTTTCTAACACATGGGGTTTACATTAAGGAAAACCTAATTTCATAATCTTTGTTTTCCATAGCTCCAAATGAGATACTGTAATTTCATAATCTCAATAGCCCAGCATGTAAAGTATGTATTTTCCTGTTCTAGGCAAAAATAAGAATTTTTGTTGCATCTGGCATTTTTCATCAGAAGGCAAATGATAGGGAAGTTAAACTTCTGGCCCAAGTGAAGCCTTCATTCATTCCGGCTTTCCTCGGGGTGAAGTCATCCTTTGCATTAGTAAAACCACCCTCTCTTTTTGCATCTGAGAAAGTCAAGATGACCCAGAATATCAAATATTCTGCACCACCACCAATCAGAAGTGGACAAGTAGGAGATGGCCCACTTTGGGAGTCTTTAACTCCAGACTCAACTTACAAATGTAACAAAGCACTCCCCCCCAACTTCCTGCTCTTTCCGGCCTCTCTTGACCATCTGAGAAAGGAGACGGATATAACCAGGATAGGAATGGGAACGAGCCATTCTTGTCTCTTGCATCCGTTTCTTAAGGCCCTGAATGGGGTTTATGAATAGTCCAAACCCTGGCAATGCTTTTTCAGCCTTTTTGACCTTCAAACTCAAAATCAGCACGACTTGGGAATAGCCAAGAAAAAGGCCCAAAACACCAGTTCCTCTTGAGAACTAATTGTTAAGCAGTGCTCAAAGAATAAGTTAGACTTACAGCAGTTCCATCCATGAGATGGGGGATCAGGTGAGAACCCATATTGTGGGCACCAAGAGAGGCCTTCCTGGACTTAAGGGTCAGCACCATAACAGAGCCCAAGCATGCATAAAGCTCTAAAACCTAATATGCTCTGCTGAAAAGCCCATGAGGTCCATCTCACAGGACAGCAATGACCAGTGTGGTGGGCTTGGGCAGCCACTGCATGAGAACTTCTGCCAAATAAAGAAGGGCCAGAGATCATCTCATCCTAATGTCATCAGCACCAAGAACTCACATTCAAACAGCAGCACACGTATGGACAGAAAGCTCACAAAAGGCTCTCCAGTGGCCTCTCACACCCGATTCAAAACCTGCTCCATCTCTTCTTTCTCTACAAGAGACTTAAAACCTCAGGGAAAAAGAATCCTTAACAAGAAAAAAATTGAAATTCCTCTGAGAGAAGAAACCTATTACCTGAGAACGCGTGGTCAGGTTATATGGACAAATGCAAATGTGACCCAATTACCTGTGAATGTTCTCAGAGCTTCTTTACTTTACTCTTCTGTAACTGTAATGTGGCAGTGTGGCCCTCTGGGAGGTGTGCTAGCGGCCACTGGAGTAGAAGTCAGATGCAGGCCCCAGGAACCCTTCAGGAAGACCAGGCTGAAAACAGTCTTCAACCTCAAATCAAGAACCTGTGTCCTCGTACTTTAGAAATGGTTTCCACATTCCAAACAGGAGAAGACTGTTTGCTCTTTCCAACACTAATCCTTCTGTTTTTTGAGCTTCATCAATTGTCCACTTGTTTCCCACTGGACGTTAGTAGTGTCTTCTCAGCATGGGTCTATGAAAGGAAATTGAGTAGTCAAGGCTGCCTCTGTATTTCATCTTGGCCACCAGCTCCAAAATAGAAATGGCTTAGGATAACACAATCTTTACAATGCCACACCATTCCCTAATTATTTATACTCACTGAAAATGGAAGCATATATACATTCTCACTTTTATTTAAAGACTTTAAATGGTAAAGCACTTTCGGGATTTTAAATCCAAAGATGGATGGCGCACTGAGAGACAGTTATAGTTCAACACTACTGGAATGGTTTCTTGGTGAAAACTGGCCTCTTTCAGGGAAAATGTTATCAAATATGGGAAACAAGGATCATAGATTACACATCACACAAACAATTAAAAATACAGTGGCTTTATTTCCATTGTTTATAGTCCCCAGCATCCCATCTGATAAGAACCTTCAATTCTAGAAACAAAAATATTTCAAGAAAGTATGTTACACAATAGTACATATAAGTAATAGTTTGGCAGAATTTTATCAACTCTAGTAGTTCTTACCCCCAAAAAACAAATTTTAAAATTCAAAAATAACAGCTTTATTTAACATATGTTACATCTTAACATTTAAAATACCATGCTCTAGTTAAATATTTCAACAACACTGTATACAAATAAAATATTACACAAAATATATTTAAGAAAATGTTTTGGTCTTTGATCTGAACAATAAATAAAAACACAGGCACTTCTACATAGACAGGGAAGCAATTACTACTCAGAATAATAATCTTGTATAAGCAACATGTGAAAATATGGCAATAATAAATTCTGGAGTTTTAAAATGACAAACCACCTATGCAAAAGTCTGCAACTTCAATCTTTTCACTCAAGTTCAAAAGTTACATATGCTTTCCTGGTCCAAATTGAAAATTCACAAACACGGTATGGTTGTTCTGGACAATTCAATCTTCAGTTGGCCATTAAGGAATCATACTCATTATTTTCAAATACTAAAATTAGGTTATGATATGACTCAGCAAACCAAATACAAGAAAAATTAAACCCTCTTTCTCCTTATTATGACCATAAGATCACAACAAGATAAATTAGATGAGTGTCAGACAATGATTCTCATTTTACAAAATTAATTAACACAAGAAAATACTGTTGGGGCAGCAGGAAATTTCCACAATTGAAAAAGCGAATTCCACAATTGAAAATTAAAGTGTCAGTTTTCTAGACAATTTAAAATTTATCCAAATCCCATAAAAATAAACATAATTCCATTTCACGAAAACCACCGGATCACGTTAACAAAGTCTTTGTAGGCAATAGATTGATAAACACCTGAATTACAGATAAATCAGTCATTATTATGGGAAGTAGGAATATTATAGAAGAGGGTAAAACAAAAATAACTTAAAATGGTAAAATTCCAGAAATATGATTTCAGATAAGAGGGGACAAGGTTTTTAAAAATGACCACTAGCCGGTAAGATCAGAACCAATCATTCTGCCATATCACCCGTAAAAAAATTACCATCTTTCGCTTTCCCTCTTCACTGAAGTACCAAATTGAAGGGGTTAGAGGCCACTCATAAAGGCAATTTTCATGGTTTAATATAGAAATTGCTCTAATGTGAGAACATGGGAACTATTCAAAATACGCCTTTCTATGCAAAATTGAGTTTGTATATATTTTAGCATTTTAAATGAGCACTCTGCAACTGAGACCAAATATCAATCATCTCTTGAGGTTTTCTACTATGTACTAACATCAGATCTACGTAGGAACAGATGTTATTCTTGTTTTTCTCCTCAATATCAAATGTCCTAAAGCCTTTGTGTTTCTCTGGAACGAGGCCGAGTTTCTGAAGGCACATTCCAGTATAAACGTCATCAATGGGGTAGAGATGGACCTGGTCAGTGATATGGTACAGCCTCCGTGCCAGGTGGCCAGAGTAGAGGAACCCCCCTCCCCCTGCATAGGGCGGGTAGAGGCCGGAGTAAACAACTTCTGGGATGTAGTACTTCAGCTTCTTATCCCGATGAGGTCCAGCATTGTGGATCACATCACCTATAAACAGATCTTTGGCTTTGCTCTTGGATAAGCTATTCAAGTAATTCAGGATGTGATGGGTGTTCACAAAAACATCGTCATCGCCCTTGAAAACAAACTCAGTGTCTGGGCAGGAAGTACTTACCCACCTGAGAAACAGCACTTCCTTCAGAGACAAGTTGAAGAAAGTGTCTCTGTAGTTCCACATAAGAATGTCTTGGTGCTTCTCACTCTCAAATTTCAGCATATCTGAAAGGTCGGGGTGGTTGTCCTCTGGGGGTGTCTGGCCCAGCAGGAAGACTCGCACCACCGTTTGGTTCCCTGCTTTGCTTTCTTGGCCCCAGGATTCCCGAATGGCTTGCCTTCTGGCAAAGTGTGGAGTGAGGGACTTAATCGCCAGCAACAAGAAGGGTTTCTTTGCACACTTTTCTGGCTGATCTATAAGCAGTGAATAATTGCGGCATCTCAAATACAGCAGAAAGTCTTTAAATCTGTCCGGCAAGTTGTTAAAACCCGTAACCACAGATGTGACCCTCAGGTCAGGTTCGCAGTAGTTCAGATGGCTTACATTGGAGAGCCTGCCCGCCTCCCCCGTCTGGTTGGCCAGCATGCTCAGGATGGGGTTGTACTGCCGGTTCAGTTTCTCTTGCTCTCGGTTCCAGTATGCTTCGGGAGGGGTAGATATCTTCCAGAACTTCTCTTTAGGTATTATTACTTCTCCTTTTCCATTTTTGTCTTGGCTACTGCTTTTGGAGACTTCCACAATCAAATAAATGAAGACATTTACCATCATCAGGATACCCAACAACTTTACTCTTCGACGTCCAACACTCATTTCTCATATCTGGAATAAAGGGGTGAAGTACTGTATCAATTAATTATCAATTTGCATTTGCACATACAATTTATTTTACTCATCTCCCCAGGAATAGTGGTTTACAGCAAAGACTCTAGACATGCACTGCCTAAGTTCAAATCATGGCCCTTCCTTTCTAGCTTTCCGACCATGGGCAAGTACAATAGTCCATGTCTCAGTTTCTCCATATATAAAATGGGAATCATGCCCACTTCAAAGGATGGTTGTGAGGGGTATATGATGTTACATGGCAAGCTTTTAAAATAGTGCCTGGCTCACAGCAAGCACTAGGTAAATAATTGTTTTAGACATGCAGAGGCTAGAAATACCTATTACTAAATAACCTCAGGAGAGTTCAACTTCCTTGCTTACAAAGGCACATACATTGCTTGGTAAACCGATTTATCTAAGTCATAACAAATACATTTTATGCAGTGTTTAGTACACACACACACACACACACACACACACACTCCTATATTTACATGTGTGTGATGCACTGTATGCAGTTCCATGTCATTCACTCTAAATTTCTCTTCTGTAGAAACAGGGACTTGTTATGTTGCCCAGGCTGGGCTCGAACTCCCGATCTCAGGTAATAACTCTCCCGCCTCCCACTCCCAAAGTGCTGGGATTGGAGGCCTGAGCCATCATGTCTGACCCTATTTCATTTTTTGTTTTTTAACGCTAGTCCCAACCCTGAATTATTTTCCGACCCGCCATTTCACAGATGAGGAAACCAAAGCAGAGAGATTAAGACACTTGCCCAGGGTCACAGGGCTAGGAAGCAGGAGACACGAACCACATGGCATCTCAGAGAGAGAAAATGAAAGCGGACTCAGGACAGCTTTATCCCAATTGCCAAAAACTGGCAACAGCCTAAGTATCATCAACAGAACCGTTGTCATCTGCAGACAATGGTATACCCTCAGCAATAAAAAGGAAAACTATTGTGACAAGCAACAACATTTCACTGTGAATGAAAGCCAGACCCAACTTTCCATTTATATTAACTTCAAGAACAGGCAAAACTAATCTAGGTTCTAGAAATCTAAAGTGATGGAAGTGGTGGGTTTAGAGAAGGATAGGAGGAAACTTCCTGGGGTACAGAAATGTTCTATGTAGGATTTGATCCTGATGAAGGTTTCATGGATGTGTATTTGTCAAAGCCTAAACTGTACTGAACAACGAGAACACATGGACACAGGGAGGGGAGCATCACACACTGGGGTCTGTTGAGTGGGAATACGGGAGGGACAGCAGGGGCGGGCAGGGAGGGTAGGGAAGGATAACATGGGGAGAAATGACATATATTGGTGATGGGGGATGGAGGCAGCAAACCACCTTGCCACGTATGTACCTATGCAACAATCCTGCATGATCTGCACATGTACCCCACAACCTAAAGTACAATAAAAAAACACCCTAAACTGTATACTTAAGATCTCTTATTATTTGTAGCAAAAAGAAAAAGGGAAATACAAATGACATTTTAGTGAAATATCAAAGGATTTCAGGCTATGGGCAATGGAAGCATAAAGAATGAGTAATGAGACGGTTTGCTGAGGATAATTCCAAGGTTCTAACACTATTGACATGGATGACCTATACAAGAACAAACATTTAAACCAACTTGACATTAAAAGACAGCCCAAAAAAGTGGAATGGCAATGTTCTATAAAGAGCTGAGGATTTTCTTATCAGGTTAATTCAACTGGGAATTTACCCTTAGGTACTATACTCATTCCCATTTTATACCTGAGAAGGTACAACATTTAAAGAAATGAAGGCACACTGGAATACCAGCCAAGGCAAACAGATTTCAAGACTATTCCATGCCAAAAGGTAGCCACACTTCTCCAACCTCTAAAAACAAGTTTCGTGACTATTTTAATCTAGTATTTGCTTTTTAAAAGAGGATTTTAAAGTTCACTTTCTACCAAACAGTACTAAGGTAAAATAATACTTGTCATGCTGCGAATACTGTAAAACTATTACATGTTGGACAGCTCAGATGAGATCAATAGGAATTCACAAGCTACACATGTGTGTCTCTAAAGATCTGTCTAGTAGATCTTAATCTGGTTTCTTGTATTTACTACTGCTGAAACCGCTTTTGCAAACCTTATGTACAGTAAGAAATCTAGCATAGCTGACTCCATCTTGCTTCTACCACCACAGGCTGGCTGTCTCCACTCATTCCTGGGCATAGGCCAAGCTAACCACGGGAGGAATTTAGTTTACAGTTTAACTTGGAAGCCAAGATGACAACAGTCCCTCCATAGAACAGATCCCTTCCTTGTTCAGGGGGCTGAGGCTAGTGAAAGGTCACAAGATTAGGATTATGAGAGGGACCTGAATTCTGCTAAAATGTAAGCACAATTTTTATAATTCCTTACTCCTCAGCAGTCACATGGCCAGAGGCCACAAGATCTTCAACTTCCCCAAGTACTCCTGTAATTACAGAACACCACTATTACAGAACCTAAGATTGGTCTTTTGAGATGTTTTTCAGACTTGCCCCATCCAGACTCATGACTCCCCTTGACCCACCACCCCCACAGACTCAGCAAACAGCTTTGATTGCATCTGTGGCCAATCAGCAGCACCCATTCCCTGGTCCCCTACCCATGAAATTACTCTTGAAAAACTTAACCTTGTATCTTTGGAGATTTGAGTGATAACTCCAGTTCTCACACATGGCCAGCCTCAAGTCAATTAAATGCTTTCTTTACCATAATATCATGGTCTCAGTGAATTGTTCTGGTTTGTTTTTTGAGACAGGGTCTCAGTCACCCAGGCTGGAGTGGGTGGCTCACTGCAGCCTTGACCTTCCAGGCTCAAGCGATCCTCCCACCTAAGCCTCCCTAGTAGCTAGGACTACACACCTGGCTAATTTTTGCATTTTTTGTAGAGACGAGGTTTTGCCATGTTTCCCAGGCTGGTCTCAAACTCCTGGGTTCAAGCTATCTGGACTACAGGCACATACCACCATGCCCACTTGATTTTTTTTTTTTTTTAAGTACAGACAGGGTTTCACCATGTTGGCCAGGCTGGCCTCGATCTCTTGACCTTGTGATCTGCCCGCCTCAGCCTCCCAAAGTGCTAGGATTACAGGTGTGAGCCACCATGCCAGCCTCAAAAAGAGCTTTTGAGCAAACCTTGTGAGCTCACTAAAGGTCTGGGCCTGAGACATCTTTTGCAACCTAAACCTCTTTGCTATGGGCCTAACTTGCAAGAGCAAGAGAACTCAAGTGGACACTTGAGTGCAAGATAAGTAATAGTCAACTTTTTATTTTTTGAGACAGAGTCTCGCCTAGCCTGGAGTCTAACACTGTGATCTTGGCTCACTGCAACCTCCATCTCCCAGGTTCAAGCGATTCTCCTGCCTCAGCCTCCCAAGTAGCTGGAATTACAGGTGCGTGTCACCATGCCTGGCTAATTTTTTGTATCTTTACTAGAGATGGGGTTTCACTACGTTGGCCAAGCTAGTCTCAAACTCCTGACCTTGTGATCCACCCACCTCAGCCTCCAAAGTGCTGGGATTACAGGCGAGAGCCACTGCAGTGGGCCAATAATAGTCCACTTTTTAGACAATAAATCACAGACACATTTAAGTGCTTTTTTTGACTTCCAGATTTGAGACAGTAAGAGACAAATACTTCTCAAACATAAAAGGTTCTCTCTAACTTTGGACAATTCTCCTAATGCTAAATAAAGTAAGCTCTTGACCCAGTACTGCTATCACTAAGTCTCAGGCCCTTCCTAGGCTGGACGACAGGCAACAGAAAGTGTGTGATGATGGTGACAAACTACAATGAGGAAAAAGATTTACAAAGGGGCCGGGTGCAGTGACTCATGCTTGTAAACCCAGCACTTTGGCAGGCCAGGGCAGGCAGATCACTTGAGGCCAGGAGTTTGAGACCAGGCTGGCCAACAAAACAAAACCTTGCCTCTACTAAAAATACAAAAAATTAGCTGGGCATGGTGGTACACCTGTAGTCCCAGCTACTCGGGAGGCTGAAGTTGCAGTGAGAGATCATGCCACTGCACTCCAGCCTGGGCAACAGAGGGAGACTGCTCAGGAAAAAACAGCACATACCCAGCGAAAATAACTCAATAAAGGAATTTAAACATGAACAGACCTTTACCAAACTTTCTAGAGTAAAAGAGGACAGTTTAGGCAAGAAAAAAAGGGAAGCACGGTACTTTACATAGGGGGTGGTGAACTTCCAGAGCTAATTCTCCTAGGAAAGATACAGGACATCTAGGTTATGGGGGAGGCCACAAATAACTGGAATCTAGCCACAGCCACTTGAAGCTCTGGCACGGAAAGCACCAATCCTTCTTTTGAGGATGCTCTGAGAATAAGCTTGCTGACCCTGGCAAGATTTCCAACTTCACCTGATACAATTCAGGGTTTTATTTCCTCAATCAAGGTCACACCAAGGTACAGTTCTCATATCACCTTGGCCCAAGACACAGGGCCTAGTGGCCTTCCCAGGAACAGCACCCTCACCTTACATTTTAGTGCTAAAGGCCTCCGACCTGCAGAGCATTTTCCTGCTCATTTCTCATTTGCAGCTGACAGGATGCCACTTTACTAGGAGAAAATGGAAGCTCAGAGGCGACTGATGATTTGCCTGAATATTACGGAAGAGTTGAGTGACAAGGCTCAGACAAGACCGCCTTCTGGCTCCCAATCCAGGGCTCTCTGGATCTCTTCTTTATTCTACGAGGTTCAACCACATTCTAGTTACCTGGTCCAGGTCAACAGTGAAGTCCCACAGGCTGACTATGGCATTGGGTCATGGTACCTTGATAGTTACCAAGAAGCTCCAAAGAAAGGGAAAAGGGGGCATCTACGAGCTCCCAGCCCCCCTCAGGAAACAGACCAGCCTTTCTTGTAAAAAAAAACTTCAGATTCCCAAAGACTCAGTTGGAGGCAACTCTTCCCATTACTTGCTAGAGGATATTTCTTTCAAGCC